GATGGGAGCAAAGGAAATCAATAAAAGAAGAGGGAGGAAATGGGGAAGGTGAACCTTTCACATTTTTGCAGTGAAATATCCCTTCATCTGACTGCCTGTAACTTATTTTTCATCATCCGTGGTGCGACCTGCAGTTGAAGATTTCTCTCGGCTATAAACACAGAGTTGGGTTGGTGGGGTTTTTTTCATCTTTGTTGCTTGTTGAAGAAAATAAGGCAAAACAAAACAAAACTTTGTAATGACTCAAACTTCTTTATGCACCAGGCTTCTTATCTAATGTCTGGACCTCACAGTCCCAGGGCAAACCTCACCCTGAATGTGGTTTTTATTGTTCTGGTTTGTTTTCTTCAAGTTCAAAGGAATGGTTAAGCCCCAAAGAGAGAAGTAAGTCCTTGGTCAGGAATCTTTAAGTTCTCTGAATCACACTTTACCAAAAGCCTCCAAAGTACATTCAAGTTAGTACATGTGGTCATCACTCAAGGAAAACTCGTCCTTGCTATCACCATTTCTATCCTCAGAGAAGTTAGAAAATATGCTAGATAGGAAAATGGTGGGGAGCCTTTGATATGAAAAAAAAGACCAAAACCAGAACAACACTTGTGGAAACAGCACAGACCAGAACAGAAATTACTGGCTAAGAAAGAAATTACCAGATCCATGAAAAGGCAATAAATACCTATTATTTTTCTTAGGATTATGTGGTGCTTTTCATGCCATCATTATTACATGGTGGTGATATGAGTAACTACTGATATGGCATTGATTCTCCAGTGGCATAGACAGATGTCCTCAGCAGTACCTGGTTTATATTCCTCCTCAAATATTCTGTGTTCTTTAAAAGAGACCAAGGTCCCAACTCGTTCTGCAGTGTCAAAGATGGATTCAAAAAACTCAAACCAACCCAAACTTTCCACTTCTTTAGACTGTCATTTGAAGGGCTGGTGTGACAAAGCTTCAGTCCAGCGTGTGGTAGGAGGAAGGCACAAATAGGTAAACTGAGGAACGGAGTGGAGCAGTGGTTATTCTAACACCAAATGATGAGTCAGTGGCAGAACACAGCTACAGTTGCAGAAATCCTTATTCTTCTTTACCACCTTTCACAATAATCATTCACCTTTCATCATGGTCTTGACTTTTATATCCCACAGAAAGTGTTAACAGAAAATCTAGGCCACTGTCACTGAGATTTAATTCTTGTACCTATGCAGAGACTTCAATCTTCATAAACTGCATTTTAGGCAACCAGCATTACTGGCTATTAAGGGCAGCAAAGTTAATCTTACTGAACACAGACTTCTCTAAATGAGGGTCACTCAAAATAGTTCAATAGTATTCATAAGCGCCAGGGTGAATAAAGCTAGGATATACTAAAGAAATAAATGTAGGAGCAACCTGAGACTGATGATGGCACAAGAGGGAATCCTGTGGCCTCCAAGCAGGCCACAGCAGACTTCAAAAACAGAGCTGAAAATACTCAGTGCAAGAGGCGATGTTTCTTCATAAACAAGGCACATTTAGCTTTTTCTTTAGTTGACACCACTCATAGAAATGATGCAGTTTTACATTAAATGTTCTTACTGAGAAGTACACAGAAAAGTCCAGCCAACGTTCATGCCACATTACTCCAAGCACTGAATGCTAAATGCAGTGATCTCAGCCACACTCCAAGAATTAGTCTATAGCGTGATCTTTATTAATAAAAGTTAATTGAAACCAAAACTCATCCCTCAGGATTTTCAATCAATAAACACACACACAAAAAAAAAGCCACACTAAAAAGCCCTGGAAAATACAGCTTCACAGAGAAAGGGACAATGGAAAGAAAAGCCCTCACTAAAAATAGTGCTAGTCTTTTTGTCCCTGTGCAGGAAATGTCGGCACCACAAATTCTAGCACTGAATAATGCTTTGTCTTCGGGAACATTATTCAGCAGGAGGCAAAAGTAAATCAACAGCCAATTCTGCTGAGGGAAGTAAACATTTGCAGATGGGAAAATTGAGGCAGAGAGTTATTAAGGGACTTGCCTAAGATGAAAAAAATAAGTCACTCTTGATTACTGGTCATCTGTTCTGGCAGGACACAAGAGCCCTCAATTGGAAATGCCAAATTTCACTGTCCAGAGCAAGAGTTTATAATATGTAAACCTAATAACTGAAAATTAATTGTCTCAAAAAAGTACATGTCTTTGTTCCTCAAAGGTGTTAGAAGTTTCAGCTCTCAGTTAGTATGCTGAGGACCTTCTTGCAGGGCTTTTTGCTGCAAATCCAGTGGGAACTGGCACTAAATGCCACCACAGAAATGTGAAGGAAAGGTGCTTCCAGAAATGCCACTGGGGTGAACCACCCCCAGCAGTTTGGCAGACCCCCCTGAGGCCAGCACGCTGCTTCTTGGCAGCTTCTGCCACACGACCTCCTGCAAAGCCGAGCTTTGGGTTCGTCTGAAACCCACCCTGACGCAGGGTGTTGCCTGGGGTCTTTGCTATGCAGTTTGTTCAAGATACCCTGATGACTTTAATCCTCACGCCAAATTTTCTGATTTTCTGGTTATTCTTTGTCTAAACAGATCAAGTCTGAGCACTGTCCCATTAAGCACCGTGGAGCAACACACTTATTATGTTACGTACCAGCAAATTGGCTGCTTTTTAACACTTTCCTTGGCTCAAGACTTTGCCTAGCATCTCTCCTTCATAGGACAGAGAGAAAACAAGAAATAATCTTGTGGTTTTAATTACAATTATTTCAAATGTCTGCAGGACCACAGGGTGATCCCAGCACTATCCCAAGTACTGTGCTTAAAGAGCTGACTTTTTCTAGGAAAGTTTGTTCTGGATCTGACTGAAGAGGAAGACAATAAAATGCGTATAAATTGTCCTCTTCACCCTCTTCATTGCACTCTGTTCCACTGTTTTTATGCAGAAAAACTTTCTGCAGGTTAGGGGATTGATCTTGCAAAGCAGAGAGCGTTCTTGGTCTGTCCAGCAATGCACCTACTCAACTATGAATATGAGAAATACCTCATTAGCTTCAGAAAGGTTATCTGCTAGACCTGAGGTGGTCTGACCAAACTAAGGAATACAGGTGATGCAAGATATTAAAAATTGAGTTTTCCAATAACCACTGGTCACCATGTATTGTAAGTCCTCATTTTTATGTTGTTTTTCTAAGGAATTATGTAATTCCTTATGTGCCAATGTCGATGTTGTTGTGCCTCACCGAAACTTTTGAACCAGCTGATCTCTTTTAGATAGGCAAAGGGACAGAGATCTTGAAGATATTAATTTCCTGGGAATTTGGGAAAAATAAACAGAAGGGAGGCAGCATGCCAGTATATCTGTAGTGCAAGCACAACTGTGTCATCTGAAACCAGAAAATTTACCTGGCATTATGGAATTATTTGCATTATTCAATCAGGAGCTATTCAGAATACAAATACCCCAATCATCAGGGAAATTTTCACTCAGAGTTTATACTTTATTAAAACATGAGAAACCAAGCTCATAGAAATGTTTGGGGTTTTTTTGGTTTTTATTTTTTTAACTTTTGATGTCCTTATGCATGTTTTTGATCCACCTTTAAATTCAGTTTCTGATTTTTTTAAACCAACATAATAAAGTTCCTAGCAGATTTATTTTTTGGGACGGGAGAGTGGGGGAGTGGGGAGTGGTCTTGCAGTAACTTAATTATTCAGTCTTCCAGAATGGTTTACATTTTATTTTTCTGTTCACAGTGTAAATACATCAGAAATCAAATAGTCATCATATAAGTCAGTCCTGCCTGTGAAAACCTAACAAAAGAGCCTTTTCCTTTAACAGAAATAAGTGTGACAGTAATACAGTAATAGCTTAAAATACATCAGGGATAATGTTTTTAAAGAATAAGAAAGATGTGTTCTAATGACCAGTGATGGCTCTGAAGTATTGCGAGAGCTTGGTTCAAAGCCCCTTGAAATGAGTAAGAGTCCTTCTGCTGACATTACTAATCTTTGAATCGGGCTCATTAATGCATTGCAGATATTGTATCCCTAGCTGCCCAAAAGCTGAAAAAATTAGAATGTAGTCATAAAAATATACATCAAATACATTTCTCTTCTGAGAATGAATACAGAAGTGAAATATTTCTACCACTATTCACTAGTGTTTTATTGCAGATATTTTCTTGCTGTTTTTGAAGGAATTAACAGGGCAAGCAGTTCATCTCATCCAGAACTCTGCCTCCAGCAGCAGCCAGTATCTAATGCCACAGAGACTGGGAAATGCTCAAATTGCTGTAACAGATTTCACTCTGGGTCTGTAAATCAGTCCTTTCCGGGATGTGCTGTGCTGATGGCGAGGAGGAAGGGTGGGAGGGGAAATAGAGATATTCAGGCAAGACATTCCCATCTTTAGCTGCTCTGTGATTAATTACAGATCAATACTTCTTACTCTCTGGCTTTTATAGCTCATTAACATCAAACGGTGTCAAGATATAAATTTGTTATATCGCTTGCCAAGACCTAGGGGATGTCTAGGAGCAGACACCCGTAAATGTTCACTAGGGGATATAATTGAGATACAGTTTAGTTGCCCAGTTTGCATCCTAGGTAGAAACAGAATACTTAGGTTCTTTACCTGTGGATCCCAAAGTATCGTACAAAAATATGTGTGTGTGTGGGCATGTGCATATATATGTAAGAGAAGGAGAGGGGGAGGAGAGACACAGTGCCTGTCGCTTTGGTCCTGTGTGGAGCTGAGAAGAAGGCAGTGATACAGAACCAGGCACTTTTTTTTTTTTTTTTTTCCAGCCCTTGGGATCATTTTCAGGTTACCTACCTACCTGAGCACCCCCTGTCCGCGTTATTAAATGCCTTTGTAATGTGAAAATGCAATGTCAGCTCCCAGCCCTGGCTCTGGGGAGCTCCAGCTCTGTCTCTTTAAGGAACCCAGCGAGTCGTGATGCTGCTGTTTGTATTGCTAAATCCCCAGGAGTCCAGTTAAGAAACGGGCAGCTGTCTCTTTAAGTGTGATTTCCTTCTATTGTATTTGAATCGTGATCAGGAAAAAGGAAATGAAACCAGAGACCCGGGGCTGAGCCACGGAGTAATAATAATAATAGTGATGCTGATCTCCCCATTTACAACGCATCCACCCGGCTCCAGAGCATGGTCAGAGCTGCCCGGGCAGGGAGCCTGAGCGGAGCGCCGGGAGCTCCGGGCTGAGGCAGCGGTGGCAGCCGAGGCGGCCGCGTCCCAGCCGGGGGAGCCGGAGCCGGAGCGGCCGGAGCCGGAGCGGCCGCGGCCGCGGGAGCTGCTCCGCGGGCCGGCGCGCAGGAGGAGCGCGGCGGGGATGGGAGGTCAGACCCTGCGGGGAGACTTGCGGAGCCACAGCCCGGCGGTAGAGCAGCAGCAGCAGCCCAGCCCATACATATATATATATATAATTTTTTTTTTTTTCCTCTCTCTTTGGTGTTGCAGGAGGAAATCCTGTGAATGTCATTGGGGGGCGGAGGGGGAACTCAGCTGGTGAAAAGGCTTCGAGAGCAGACAGCCTGTGCGGGGGCAGCGGGGGCAGATCCCACCACAGGCACGCTACAAAGGAACAATCCCTGCCAATGTCATCGGCCATCGAGAGGAAAAGCCTCGATCCTTCCGAGTAAGTGGCCTCTTTTTCTTTTTCTTCCTGGCTCCCCCCCCCCCCCCCCCCCCCCCAATCTCCGTGAGCTTTTCGATGGCCACTCATCCTCCACACCGGAGCCACTTGACCGGCATTGTGTCCCCGGCAGCAAGGGGGGGGGGGCGGCAGCAGCCCCCCCCGCTGCTCCTCTTCCCCCCTACCTTCCCGCCCCGGGGGGTCCGGGCACCGAGCACCGGGACCCCCCGCACCTCCCCTGCTGCGGGTCCCGGGGGGGGGCTGAGGGAGGGGCTGTTGATAAGAGCTCCCCAAGTTGGGATCTTTGATCCCAAGAAAGACCAAGCAGGAGAGAGATCCAGGCATAGAGAGCAGCCGACCCCCCATTACCACCCCCCCCCCCCTCCCCGGCCAGGAGAGCATCAGGGTTTCCAAATCTGAAGGTGTTTTTCATGTGGGGAGTTGGGGGGGGGGACACGACAAATCTTCTCTGCCCCATCTTTGATCTGCCCAATGCACTGTAGCCGATTATAGCAAAAGGTCAGAGCTGTTATCTGTGGGTGTTCAACTTCCACATTTTCATAATGCAACTTTCAAGAGCTTGTATAAACTGCTTTGGTGGGGGCAGGGTGTTCTGCAAAGAGCGTGTAAAAAAGGCTTGATTGCCAGGGTGTAGAAGATGAGAATTTCCCTCCCTGGGTTTCCCACTTGGGAAAGGGACGGGCTCTCCTGTCCTGATCCAGGCTGTCGGGCTCTCCCGTCCCCCCGGCACACACCGGCATCCCGCTGGCAAGGGGCTTGGCAACTCAGCACAAACCCAGAGTCATTTCAGCCCTGTTCATGCTAATAACAGCAGTTATGCTTGTCTGTAACCATGATAAGAGAGGAAAAAAAAAAATTATAAAATCTCCATTTTCAGATAACGCTTAAAATATTGCTTTCAGTAAACTTGAGTCATTCGTGGTTTGTTTCCTGTGAGATATTAAAAATGCCATTGCTGAAGCCCAGAGTGAACACATGGGAACTGTTTCTTTTGGGGATTAAATCAATTATTTCTATGTCACATCTGATGTTTTATATGTTACATTTTCTCTTATTTTATACTGTTTTTTAAGAAATGGTAATCCAAGATCCTAGGTATATGAGATCCAGGTTTCAACTACAAAGTTTTAGTAATCTTTATTTATTTACGTACCTTGTGTTCTACTTACTTAAGAACTGACTTAGGAATCTATGGACATCAAAAAGCTAATGCATAAACCAGCAATTCTGTTCTGTGTAAACATCCGCCAGGCTGTTCCAGAGTTTAGGGCTTCCAGAGAAACCTGGCTTGTCATTTCTGAACACCCGTAAGATGAAGTATTTTGGGGTATATCTGAAGTTTCAAATAATGTATAGAAAGGATAATAAAAGGATTTCCTTCTATTGGGAGGCTCTCAGAACTTGTCAGTGGAGCCCACACCTTAAGAAAGGGAATGTGGGGCCCAAAAGAATAAACCTGGAAAATCTAGGGCCTAATCACATACAGAGTTCCCATAGTTTTTAACAAAAACTCACAGGACAGAGAGCTGGTAGGAGAGTGATGTTATGACACAACTTGCAAGGCACAGCAGTTTAAACTTAGAAGAGTGAAAGCCAGAACAGAACATAATCAGATAATATCTCAAGGCTCAGCTTGCCTAAACAAAAACTGCAGGTTCAGTTTCTCGGCACAGAAGTTCTTGACCAGTGATCATTTCTCCTTGCTGAAGAAAGTCATTTTTGCCCAGACAACCGCTGACCCAGTAAATAAGCAGTAGTAATATAATTTTTCCTGTTGCCTGCTGGAAGCTGGGAGCAACCTGATCCTTCATCCGTGTAGGTCTCCTCTGCCCCCACCGGCCCGAGGGAGGACAGACCCGCAACAGAAACAAAGCGTTGAGGGACTCTGTGCTAGAGCGAGAACCCAATCGCCTATGAAGAAATTTGGGGCTCCACTCTACCAGATATTGAGCACCTCTGTCATCATCCAGCAAAGCATAAATGTGCAAATATACATCTTCCTTGCTGCTAGCCACAGGTTTAAAATTAAGCAAATGATTAAAGGATTGACCCTGTATTTTTTGATAACTTTCCTGGGGTTTGGATGAGACCTTCAGTGGAAGCACCAGGTTGCTGCAAACCTCACAGAACTGAGCTCAAGCACCTTTATTTTTTTTTACTGTTCATTTTTTTTTTTTTTTGGCAGTATTTGTAAAATTACACAAAAAAGGAAAATAAGAGAATTCCTTAAAAAAGTAGCTTTGAAGAAAATTCTTGCTTTATCCCCAGGTATTACCAGAACCATCCCAGATTTCAGAGCTTTTTAAAAAGGGGAAAAAATAAGGTGCATGAATAATCAGTGCCAATATCACAATAAAGATTTGTGCTTCTTTTCACGCAGAGATGTGTAAATCCCAAATAATTGTTTGAGCTATGTTGGCATAGACCCCTCCCAGGGGATTCACGTCCTTAGCTGAAGGAAAAGAAAATGTAGTCTTGCAGCAACATGAGGTTAAATTCTGGCTCTATTAAAAAGAGCAGCAAAACTTAAACCAGTTGGGCAACAGTCTCATCTATTGTATTTATTCATTTCATGCTGTTCAGAGAAATTACGTCCTCACACCGAGTCTTCAAATTTGCATTTCCCAACGGAAAGTTGACTGCATGCAAAATTCCTCAGGTGCCTTTTCTAGTCCTTTATCCCCTGGTGAGACAGAAATTCCTTTTGATTCCAGTGGCACTGCAGCCAGATCTTCCAAGCTCAGGTTTACAACATGGGCTTCTATATTTTTGGGTTTATGCACAGATGATTTATGGTACTGCTGGGGCTCTTCAGTAAGTTACAGGTAAACCCAGAGGTTATCTATGTTGATTAGATCAATTACAGTTGTTTATAGGTAAATCTTTAAAATCTTGTTGGGAAAAAAAAAGCAATTTTAAATGAAAATGAAAGTACTGCTACATGTTGTGGACAAACCAGAATTATTTTAATGTGTGAAGAATACAGTAAGAACGTTGTGGTTGTTGGCATTCATCAGTCTGCACAGACATAACCAGCATTTCAATGAAATGGTGAATCCGATCAGCTTTTTGATTGCACTTTTGAAAAAGGGCAATCAAAAAAAAATTTTGAAAAAGTGCAATCTAATTATGGAAGAGTCATGTTATGGGAAAGGTATTTCTTTTATAAAAACTGCATGGATTGAGAATAAGCAAGTCATGTTCTATCCAGTAGAAGAAAAATTATGTATCTATATGGGCACCAATGTCCTAGTAAAGTAGCAGATGCTTTTACAGTAATGAATACACACGGGTGATACAGAGGTTGTCATGTTTCTGCATTATTCTTTGAAGAAAAATAAACTAGCAAATTTTTTGATACTTTTATTAACGCTTTACATTTTAAGCTCTTCTTTTTTCTTTGTAAAGCAAAAGAAGAGTGAAGTCCTGCTCCCTTTCACGTTGGAAGGGGATAAATCATTCACTCCACTGGAAGAAAAAAACAACGATGTAATCCCTGTTCTAACTCGACTGATCTCGTGTTCTCTTTTGTTTTTCCTTCTCCTTCTTCTCATGCGGATGCTTTCAGAGTACGTTTTCCTTCTCCAATGACTCTTTCATTCCCTCAGGGAGCCAGTGGATGAAGTCCTCCAGATTCCCCCTTCGCTGCTGACATGTGGCGGCTGCCAGCAGAACATCGGGGACCGCTATTTCCTGAAAGCCATCGATCAGTACTGGCACGAAGACTGCCTCAGCTGTGACCTGTGTGGGTGCAGGCTCGGAGAGGTGGGCAGGCGGTTGTATTACAAGCTGGGCAGAAAGCTCTGCAGAAGGGACTATCTCAGGTACACAACCCACTTGTTCTACCCTCGTTCCCCGTCTTTCTATCACTTCAGCTTTGTTTAGTCATTTAATTAGTACAGCTGGCGAGCAAAGATCCACAAAGAATCCATTTTTGACTACTCTTAAATGTAAAGCCTGGCAGCGGTCACAGTTGCAACACAGCACTGTTTGCCAGCTCAGGTTTACAATATGAGCTCATGTATTTTTGGGGTTCATGCACAGATGCTTCATGGAACTTCTGGGATAAGTTATAGGAAAATCCAGAGATTATCTATGTTTATTAGGTCACTTAGAGTTGTTTATAGGTTAAATCTGACAAATCTTGTTGGAAAAACAAAAGCATTTTAAAATTAAAATTAAAGCATTGCTACATGTTGTGGACAAAAGAGAATTATTTGCAAATGTGAAGAATATGGAAAGAACTCCTAGGACTTTGGGGTTGTTGGCATCTGTCAGTCTGCGCAGACGTAACCTGACAGCTCCAGGCAAACCGCACAATGTCAGCGTGAGATTCTGGCAAGTAGAAATTAGGAAAAGGTGATGAATTCAGGAAGCTCCCCCTGAGCTGACAGTGAACTGGTTCCCCCAAATGGTTTTCAGTAGTTCTGTGCTTCTCCAAGCATTGCCTTGGAGCTGAAAGGTGTATAAAACCAGGTGCCAAGATAGGCGACTGATGAAAGATCATTTAGTTCTTCCATTTAAGAACACGGTATCCAAGGTAACTGCATTCAATTCATTTTCCTGAGGCAGTAATATCAGCTCTAAATGAGATACTTGATTCCACTAGCCAGCGGGGCTGCTCTACCTGCTTGGTGTCTGAAGTCACTGCCTTTGATACGCGGATTGATCCCTGTCCTTTTCTGCATCACTGGTAAAGTTGTCTGGGACACTTCGAGCAGAAAGATGCAATGTGCTGTATGTTTATTGCAAAGCTACATCCAGTACAGGAAAGTTTGATTGTGCTAATTTGGATCCAGTGGATTTTGAGCATTCCTAAGCCTGGTCCTGAATAGACAAGAATTTGTATGTTTTGCTGAATCAGATCCTGCAAATACACTTGTTACAGGTATTTTCATTAACATCTCTGTGCCTACCTGATTTGCCAAAATTTGTAAGCAGAAGGATTGAGATTAAGGTATTTCACAAAAATTGATGTCAAAAGATCTTTACGATCATGATTACAATTAAAGTCTATTGATTTTTGCTGTGCTGGTTGTGTACCATTTCTTCTAATGCATCCCTAATGTGTCAGAAGACCTGTGGAACTGAATAACAGTATTTGATATTTTTTTCAGCTACCTTACTGAAGGCTAATACACCTGTCAATAAAAACTAAACCAAAATCTCAGTGGAGTTCCTAATTATGGTGTCCCTGAGCTTTACTGATGGGAATTTTGCTAAGCAGAAACTAAGAACTGAGTTCTGCTAATGGGGCTGCTTGTAAATACTCTGCATATGTAACAGTCCAGCAGCAATCCAGTGTTAATTACACTTTCCAAATTCTTTTCATCTTGAAATGGAAGCAACAGAAACTCTGGTAATACAATTAATGTATTTTCTTGCAGTGAAATTCAACGTTTTCATTTATTTAATAATGCAACATATAACATCTTCCCTCATAATGAAAAAATTGGCAACCTTTGTGTAACCTAATTATTACTTTAATTGGGCAGAAGTAAACACTGACATCTCCTGGTAGAGGGAAGAAATGATGTCTTTTCCCCTTAAAGATCTCTCTTAATTTAGCAGGCATCCGTTTTCCAGTTTAGAAGATGATACAAAGTAGGCACAGCAATAGGAGGTGGAAAAACTCTTTCCAGAATTAGTATGGAAACTTAGAAGTCAAACTTAATAGGTGTATATGTTGAACAGGTAATGCATAGCATTTCTCCCCCATCAAGAAAAAAAAAATATATATTCATTTGTATTTATTAATTATTTGATTTACAAACCCTGTAGCCAGCAGACTGCATGAAAGGCTGGTGTCCACACATGGCTGAGCGTGTTGCACTGCTGCAGCGGAACGGTAGTGCATGCTGCAAGGAGGATACATATCTAGTGCATTCATTAGAGGCTCCTTTCAATCGACAACACCATCATGATCTCAGCAGTGTTCTTCAATGTGGATTAAAGAGCAGTCCGCATCAAAAAATTCTTTGGGCTAGTGTAGTTATCTAGAAGGCCTTAGCATGTATCCTTCTGAAACCCAGCAGGAGTGACTTCATGGATATAGAAAATTTTGAGTCTGAAAGAATCACCAGTGTGGAGGCTACAGCAAGGGACAGAGAAGCCCAAGACCATGGCTTGTGTCAACTCCTTTCTGTAAACTACAATAGCAACAGCTGAAGATAGGCAAAACTTATCAACAGAAAGGCAATTTTTATCAATCACAGAAGTGTAACTATTAGCATGGCACATCTTTATGCTATGATCTGGAGAACCTGTACTCCTCCTGAAGCTGCTCAGCAATTCAGGATAAGGTCATTGATCAGAGAAGTCAATTATACTGAAAATAGGTGAGGACCTTGGACTTTCTACTTCAGTTTTTGGTATTGCAAAGTTTAAAGTTCTGCTCGGCAGCTTTCCATGTGACCTCTATCTAACTTGGCAATACTATGACTAATGGATCAAGGCACTCATGTTGTACTCTTGTTTTGATTTGTTTTTTCCCATCTTCCCAGCAAAGGAAGTCTGCTTACTTCTCTGCTGTTGTTGTTTCAGGCTCTTTGGCCAGGATGGCCTCTGCGCCTCCTGCGACAAGCGAATCCGGGCTTATGAGATGACCATGCGGGTGAAGGACAAAGTGTATCACCTTGAATGCTTCAAATGTGCTGCCTGCCAGAAACATTTCTGTGTTGGGGACAGATACCTCCTCATCAACTCGGACATAGTATGCGAACAGGACATCTATGAGTGGACTAAGATAAATGGAATGATCTAGCAAAGACATGCCTCATAGTCTATAAAAGACATCTCACGGGCAACACCGATGCATAGCTGCAGTGAGGAGATCATCAATTGAGCTATGGGCTTTGTCTAAAATGGGGGGAAAATACCACGGAGTCAACCCCTTGCAGGCAGTGCTACATAGAATCTAAACTACATATAGGCAAAGAAGAGAGACTGAAGCAATAGTAGATAGACTGACTTCTATTAACAAAGGCGTATGGACAATAACTGACATCAGCCATGTAGGCGAGAGTTGGGAAACAAACACAACGCGATAATGAATTCTTGTAACTGGAAAAGAGTAGGGACTTCTGTAAAGAGATGTTATGACTTTGTCACCTGCAGACTAGGATTGTGCAATTGAATTTTCTTTTTGTCTTGTTTTAGTTACTGAGTTTAGAGGACAGCTCCTAACGTAGACATGAGGGAGAATACTGGAAGAAAAGGGCCATCACTTATGTGGTCATTCTATATGGCCTTACACTTCGGGTAGAAGAAAAAGTGGGAAGAGGGTGGGGGTTATTTTTGCATGGATTTTTTTTTTTCCTTTGAGAATGAAAAGTGCATCCTCTAGTCCCAAACTCTTCTTTAAAAAAAATCCTGCTGAATAGTTCTTTTCAGGCACTGCTGTTTCAAGATGAGATGTTCCACATATCATTTCTATACAAATATAAATCTAAAGAGTTGTTCAACTATTTTATTAACTTAGATTATATCAATAAAATATTTGTTGTGTGTAGTAAGACTCTGCAGCTTTAATAAAAATAACAGAAGATTTGAGTGTTATTTTCTTTTTTTTTGGAGTTGGCCTGTATTTTTTGTTTGTATTGTTTATTTTATTTTTTTGTAGCAGGGTTTCTACACTTTCTCTACAGCCGGTGCATGCTGGATCCACTTAAGGTTGCGTTTCAAAGCAGTAACGTGAGAACACTGAGGTCTCAGTAAGCCTTGTAGCTTCATGCCAAGGAGAAATTAGATAGTGTTGTAGGAGAAATTAGATACTGCTGTGCGACATTGAGGTTCTTTGGTTTTTATGAGGATGTTTTGAGGCTGGTGGCTCACAGAGAAATACATCTGGGTGTTACTTTGCCACAAAGAGCTTATCTGATCTCAGAGGAGATCATGTAAGATTATGGGTCTCCTAGAAAGGTAGCTCGTCCTGATTTTGTTCTGAGTTATTGAATCCAGTATAATATCACTAGAGCAAATCAATACTTGCTAGTATTTAGAAAGAATTAAGTTCAGAGCCTTTCCTGCAAAGACTATTGTCGCTTGATTCTTAAGCAAAAGGAAGTTTCTTAGCATTTTAGTAATACTAAGAAGAGGAGAAGGATGCCTGGTCACGCAAAGGTGGATATTCAGTATCTTACTCCCACAGAGACCAGGAGTGGGTGTTCAGGCAAGCACAGAGTGACCTCCACATGGAGACTTTCCAGCCTGCAGGAAAGTCCCATGAGCTTTGTGTGAGCCTGCCTTCAAACCCCTCCACTTAGCCACCGACCCACAGAGCCATTCCCTGGGGGTTTGCCTAGTCCCTTTTTTTGACTCTTTGGCCTTCATAAAGTCCCAAAGCAATGATTTTCACACTTTAATTCTATGCTGTGTTTATTTCAAAACCTGTTGCTTCATTGGTTAAGCACCATATTGTGAGAGATAATGAACGGTCCCTTCATATCACCTTTTTTCCCCACTATCCTTGACTTTAAAGACCTATATCACATTCCTTCCAACTTGTTTTTTCTGAGATGAATAATCTAAAGTTCCTTCTTTCATGAAAGCTGTTTCATGCCTCCAGTAATCTCTGTTTCTCATCTCTGTATGTTTTCTTGTTCTACATTATAATTGTTGAGAGTGTCACTAGAACTGTATGTTATGTTCAAACATACTAAAAAAATAAAGCTTATAACACAGTTGAGCAATTTTGACAGTCTACTCAGAAGATGTTTGACATGTCCATTCACCTCATCAATACTAACTTGTAAAGAATAGCACCTAAGCATATGGATACCTATTTGTCTGATTATTTTCAATAAACCTGTCACCCAAGGGATCTCTCATCCAAGTGGCAGTACTGACCAATGACAACAGTTTGCATTTTACAATGGATATTCCAAACAGTTCTTTTTCTTTTCTTGCTTTTTTTGTCACACCTAGTATTGGGGACAAAACCTTTAAATCTTATTACCGGTGAAATTAGAAACTATACATAATGAGATCATGCTTGAAAAGAACAGTTTGAGGGCCCTGTGATTTAGCTCTTCTCAAGTGATATGCTGACCTCTGGAGGCCACATGCAGCTGGTTGTAATTATAATTCTTAGCCTAAAATGTACCCCTGCCAGCACAGGCAACAAAGCTATGTACCCAAGGAAAATACAACTATCATCTCTTCATCCTCAGTGGCTTCTTGCAAATATTTGGCCCAGCTAGAAACGAAGTCTCAATATCCCTGTTAGCTTACACAGCTGGGGGGATGTAAGCAGGATGCTAACGCAGGGTGGAGGTGCGCAGTCATTCTTCAGATCGGTGTGTGAGAGTGCAAACGCACGGTGAGCTGTGCATCACCAGTCAAGGTAGCACCAACAGCTTTGTGGCAGATGCCTTTAAAGCTTTCCAGGTCATAGTGCCCTGCCATGTCATTGCAGTGTCCCTCTCAGAGCCCCTCTCCTTTCTCTGAAAAAATACACCTCGATAGCACTATTGTATGAGCAGGGCAGAGGAGCACTTACAGCTTCATGAACAGCTACTAGTTCAGGGCAAGAAAATTTTGCAGATGATGGCAATCAGCTATAAAGCTGTTTTTTCTGTAGTCACATGCTAATGATGGAGATGAACAGGTATCAAAGGGAGTGTTGTACGCTGGGAAGACTGGGACTCTGCTCCATCCCACGGCGCTGCCAGCTGAAGGGTCTCTGAACAAAGCCCATGTGTTTCAGATCACAGGCATCACAGACCTGCTGATAGTCTGTGCGAGGGGCAGTGGGAGATAAAATGAGCTTCCCTTTGATAAAGTAAACCATGATTTTGACTTTGCAGATATGCTACGAAGCGGTTTTGAGCAACATCCTGATCTCATACAGCATCATGGTATAGCTGACTCTAAAATAACTGCAATCACAGAGTTACACCAGCATAACGATAGCACTGATGTGGTCAGAATCAACTGAGGTCATTGCAGGTAAGAGTTTTGATGCTTGTTCCCTAAACCCTTTCCAGGGTAATTTCAAATCTTACTCAGTCATGCTGCCTCTCTGTGATTCACAGAGAGGTTTGACTGAAAATTTAGTGTAAGGGGCCTTGTTAACATCTGTGTTGAGATTAGGTAAGAGTGTCAATAGTTCAGGGAGGCTTTGTGGTTTTGCACTAATGAGCGCAAGAACTGTGTTTTGTTCTCACCTCAGAAAGTATTTCCTGTGTGACTTTTTACAAGGTAGTTAAATATTCTGCTTTTCAGTTGCTTGCCTGTAAAATGGAGATATTATCACATATTCTGTAAAATATCATTTAAAGCATCCTAACGGAAATACACTCATTATTTTGTGTAAGGTATCATTTACACAGGAAAACACATTTTAAAACCTAAATGAATGTATACGTAAAGGAAGGATGCTGCAGGGTCCACGGTGGATATTCTTATTTTGTTATAAGACCACCAGTTTTATCTAGTCTATGTAACATTAGAAAGGGCTTAAGCTGAACTGGAAAACGACAACTTGTGACAGAAGAAAAGCCTTCATTTGAGTAGTAGTATTACTCTACCTTGATAATTATACCAATCTGCTGGTGGACTTTTCCCAGTCAGATTCCTAACTCTTGCTCTCTGGATCCAGGAGAGAGAACAGATTTCTCTTGGGATTAGTGTAACCAACACTTCACCTCCATCCTCATCTCAAGCATGTAAGGACTCTCTCCTGAAATTAGAAGAAAATAAAATGTTCCAAAAATTATGGCAAAAATAAAAGCAAAGGTGATTTAAAGGCATAGGCAAAAAGCACAATAATCTGAACACGACTTCATCAGCTGATATTCAAATGCTTTGTCCTTTGTATGTTTTCAATACCAGCTGTATTTTAAAAGGCATATCATCCTTCAAGATTTCCCTTCTTTGTCCCCATTATTCAATGTCATGGTAAGAAGATGAGAGCATTACCATCGATATCACTTTTTTAATTCCATGCCCTTGAATAAGGGCAATAAAAACCCCGCATAATAGAGTTTTCAGCAGAGAGAGTAAATGAGAATCGGTTGTTAATTCAATACAGAATACAGAAGCTGTCTCTCCCATCTCCTTTTCTCAAGGTAATACTGTGCCTCCAATTGTCATTATACCCAAGAATCGAATTATTTGAATTCTGGACACATCAGCACAAAACCGAAGACTCCCTGCCAATTTCGTAGCCTGCTTGGAAGAGAACATCAGAGAGCATCACTCATTTATACGACTGCCAGCCTGAGACTGTAAATTCAGAAAACAAGAAGGCCTCAGGTGCTGCACTTTAACATTTCTTTCTGCTCCTGAATCAACCCCCCTTACCACCCTCATCACATACAAGGTAACATTTTATCTCTGAAAGGCAAAGCTTTCAAGCATCTGCCAGGGCAAGCATCGACTCTGTATGGCCTGAATGTGAATTGAAAATGAAACTGTTAAGTATATTAATTGATAACAGCCACTTGTGACTTTGAAGCAGATTCATGACACTTGGAAAAATAATCTATAAAGATTGTTGTTGCTCTAAAGAGACAGTGCGGCATCAGCTTATTTCACTTCCAGCAGGTTCATCTCTTTTATAGAGCATACTGCACTGCAGGCAAAGGGAATTTTAATGGACACTGTGAAAAAAAAAATCTATTCCTCTGTCCCATGACAAAAAGAAACCATAAAAAGACATAAAACAGAGAGATTGAGATACAATATCGGAAACCATTTAAGGAACTATAATTAAATTAAGATTCAGAAGTCTGTCAATGAGATGAAGATTAAACTGGCAGAAAGTTGAACCTTGTTTGAAGCAACTTGTTCCTTCCCATGGGTTGTTGTGTACCTAGCTAATGAGAAGGCACACCTCTAGAAGGTTCCTAATAAACCAGCAGATCTGTGATGGTTAATTAATAAACATATTTTGCAGGAGTATACCATGTTCTGTTTAACACTTTCCAAGTGCCTTGCAAGCATTAATGCATTACTCTTTCCCTTTTTAAGCTACGAACCCTGCTCCATAGGTGGGGAAATTAAGGCATAAGATGAACATAACCCGCTCAAAAATCACTCAATAACTCAGCCAAACTTCTACAAGAGCAGAAGTTAGATCTCTCAGCTTGAGTGTGACCGTTCAACTACGGACCATTTTGCAACCACTGACGAAGCAGGTGTGGGTACCACATGGCCTGACCTGTCCAACAGCGGTCATCTCAAATACACTCTGAATGACAGAGAGCAGTCTCAAATAGCATTTTATATGGATACCTTCTATGAATTATGCCTGACAGTGATACACATCCCTCCCTGCATGACTGACAATCCGGTACATAAAGCTCAGCTATGTTTGCGGAATCAGGAGTTAACAGCCTGTGGGGACATTTGGGCATGAGTGGCAAAACCCCCATGAAATTCTGCCAAAATAAATGCATTTGATGACATCTGTGGCTTATTCTTCAAATACAGAGAGCATCCCATCATGTCACTCTCTGTAGCAATACTCAAGCAATTCTTGAGGGATCCTTAAGCCCCCTTATATGTGTTCTTCATCAACAGCAAAAGGATGATCAAA